ACTGACTATTCATTCATCGCAAGCCATATTTCAATTTAATTCAACGTTGTACACAATTAGATGTCTGAATTGAGATAGTATTTAGAGTATTAAGTGGATTGAATGCAGTTGCGGGGACAACAAAATGGCCGCCGACCGCACAGCGAAAGCTTAAGCATTACTTGAGAGTCTAACGGCCAAATTCTGAAACGAATCACAAACACTATGTGTCGTTAATCAGTTTAATTTTTATGCTATTGATATTTAGGATTTAGGACTTTGTTCAAATAAATATCGTTACAAAATTTGGCTGTAAATTTTCTCAGTATAACTGAATCATTTTCTTAGTAGAGCTTATATCGTTAAGTTATAAAGTAATGTAAGTAAAAGAAAATGTCGTAGACTTCTTTTATTAAAATAAAATTGAAAAAGCTTAACCACACCTTCAAAGCAATTAGCTCTTAGATATGAACGGTTTTCATAAAACTTTCAAAAAATATCACAACCCAATTAATATTAATCCTTAAAAATTCTTATCGACTTAAACTTTCAGAAACTCAATTTCTAATAACTATATGTTTAAAGTATTTTGAGTTATTAGCATGTATTTAACATTCTAACAAATGAGTTAAAACTCATCAGAAAGTATAGTGAAAACTGTTAAATTAGTGCTGACTACTGTTAACCGAAAGTCGCACCCTTAGCAAACAAGTGGAGGTTTATTGGGATGGTTCTGACAAAGCTTGCGGTTCTGTTCGGTACTCACCAAAGTTGCGTCACGAAGTTTAAAGTTAGATGTAATGAATGGTAATGATTTGAAAGTTTCAAACAAGAGACCTTTTGCTGTACCCGCTTTTATGTTCCTACTTACTACAAGGCAACATTGATTCGTAGATGTGGACACAATCCATTTTTAAGCGAATTTATATATTTTTAAACATGTGGAATTTACTAGCGACTATTTAGTGCAATTGCTTAGTTCCAAAGGCTCGCGTCGTCAGAAAAAATCTACAGTTGACATTTTGTAATCAATATTAGTTTAAAAGATTACTTTGCTTTGTATATGAAGGAGCCAACTGTTTACTGCCTTTTTTATCGGAAATTAGACTACATTAGGAAGTTTTTAAACAAAACTGGTGATATAGAACAGTGTCAGAACGTGTTTATTTTTAATAATTCCGTAAACGCTATCTGGGCCAAGGTGTCGATATCTGAGGTCGATGTTATTGTCACTTTCATTTTATTACAGCACTGTAAAAGCTTTGTAATTTGCGATATCGCTAACTTATACATAACAAGAATGAATAAAGTTTAAAAAAATAATAATAGAAATACAATAAAAAAACAATCTTAACAAAGTACTAAAACATAGTTTGATCTACATTTTTATAGTAATTTTGAATACAAGACACATTTCAATGAGTTGAGTACGTCCTAAACAAACCTGAGATATTAACAGTAAATCAAAACAGCTGTAATACGGTTTTTGTAACTCAAACGTGCCACAGAGTAAATCCGATTGTGTGTTGATGCTAACTAACAGACTTTGAAATGCCAGTACTCTAATGACTTTGGTATATACTAAACTTAAAACCGTGTTTTGTTTTTGTGCCTTTCAATTGTAATAAAGATTAATTTTTCTATCAACTCGTATTAATACTGATTTTCTTTAAATTTACTTCATATTCATATGCGTACACTATGTATACTAATATTATAAAGAGGAAAGATTTGTATTTTTGTATGTATTCGATTCACATAAAAACCACTGAGCCGATTTCAATAATTCTTTCACCATTCAAAAGGTAATTTATCTATGAGTAACATGTGCTAGTTTTTTTTATTATTTTCTTAAATTCACGCGAGTGAAGTCGCGAGCAATAACTAAATGTGTTATTGTCTTTAACTTCACTTAAGAAGATTAGACACTCAAAGAAGTACGAGTAACATTGACGTCGAAACGGAATCAATCTTGCAAATTGAGTCCGTCATGTTGAATTTCGTTTAGCGGAGTACTCCGGAATTTAATTACGAGTCAGTAGGTTCAAAACTCATTCTAAACGTCGGAATTTCTTATTATTTCACTGGAGTATTTCTCATTCCTTCAGAATAAGGATGAGTTTGTAATTAACGGTTAATTAGTACAAATTAAATACCTGAAATACCTTAAACGATAGCAATAAGTTAAATTAAATTTAGTAATACTTTATTACATTCGAAACATTTAAAACCATTGTAATTTTAAGATATTCGATAACTTATAAATTAAGTTAAAAGTGGCATTATGTAGGTTATTTAAATTAGGTGTAATAGATTTTATTTTATAAAGTTTGTGATCTTTGTTATGTTAAATTGTAAGAAAATTTCCTTTCCAGATTAATTTTACTTTACCAGACTTTACTCACAACTGTTTATATGCGTAGTTAATTAAATTCTAGTTATAGATGATAACCTATGTAATCATTAATAATGTCGCTTTCTAATGGTAAAATATTTTTTAAAATCGGTTTAGTAGTTTTTGAGTCTACTCGTTACAGACAATATATATATTTTATGATTAT